ATACTGATAATTACATTTTTAGCAAGGAAATACTAAAATGATTTTAAGACTCAGTTGCATCATTCATAATATATAATTTTTTTTTTGTGCATCATTCATAAAGTATTATAAATTATTTAGGGATTTTATTTCTTTTGCATCATTCATTATGTATAATTATTTTTTGTGCATTATTCATAAAATATTATAAGTTATTTACAAATTTTATTCACTATGCAACAACAAAAAAATATAAAAGACTTACTGATTATTCCATTTTTAGCTAGGAAATACTTAAGTGATTTTAAGATTCAGTTGCATCATTAATGTTTATGTAAATATATCCAACCATTTAAGAAAAATAAACTCGTCTAGAAGAACAAGTCAAACAACACTGGATTTTCAACTTAAGTATTCAGGAATGTCGTTGAGAAACTGAGAATAAGTGAAAGTGAAAATCTCGTAATTTGCAAAGAGAATCTTTGGATCTTACTAAAATCTAATTATATAGATATTCAATAAACTGTTAGGAAATTTGGTTTCTAAATTGAGAAACTTTGGTTACACAAAAACTAAATAATAAACAGCCCTATAGTCAATCTAGGTTTCTGATTTGTACCTACACTTTCTAATCAAGCTTCTGAAAATCGTTTCTATTAATATGGGTAACGTAAATTGTTATATTATACAAATGGCTGTTGAAAAGCTCTCTACAGATCCAAATAACCTTAACCCTTTCACTGTATAATTTCATGGTAATTCCCATAATGATGTCAATTATCCACCAAACAAAAAATATCCACTTCTTGCAACATAAGGAGAGCTTTTTCTTTTTTTTTTTTTTAAAGCCTTGGGGTAAATCTGCTTTCCACAGTTAATGGTAATAAGATTTTGAGCGGATATATCCACTTTTGACATCAAAAGATTGAAAAATAAAATAAATTTAAAAATTTTTTTAAAAAAGTCTAACCAAAGAAGACATCAGATGGAAAACTTTTCAGCTAAATTGAAAACTAAAAAGTCTTGTTCTAATTTTGGAATTTTTATTTTTTAAAATAAAGCACTAAAGAGAGATAACAGTGATTAGGACCCTTCCCTATATAAGAGATACTTTGTAAAAAAAAATTAAAAAAGTACACAAGACAAAACAAAAACAAATGCTTCATTAAAATACATTTTTTTTTTTTTTTTAAACTAAAGTTTTCTGGTAAAATAAGCATAATCAGTTATGTAATATTATAAAAAAAATATTTTCTGTGTATTTACTCAAGTAATTTCCATGCAGAGTTATAAAAATCACATTTTTCTATCTTAAATTAGAAAAGAAGAAATAAAAATAATAAAATGTTAATTTTTCTGTATGTTTTTTATAACAAAACTTTTAGTTATATTTCGTATAGCCTCAAAACAATTACGAACAAAGTTAAAAACATCTAAGCTTTCATACACTTAGCGAATATGAGGTCAAATGACTCTTAAATTTCTGTTAAATGCACCTCGTTGACATTTTAAGTGAAAGATTTATAAGCTGTGGTTAGTAAATAAAGCAATGACAAAAAAAGAAAAAACTTTCAAAATAATTACATTCCTTTTTTCAAATGCTTCAACTTCCATTAAATAAGTGGTCAAGAATGATGTTATATATTCATGTAGTCCTTATCACACCTGCACTGAAATTAGTGTTATCAGGTCATCAAGGCATAGAGGGTTTTGATTGCTCTATATTAAGTTTTATTATACAAAACAATTTCACAAAATTAACCAACCAACCAACATTGATAAAATTTCCAGCATAGAATTCTATTTATATGATATATATAAATATACTATGTGAATTTAAGTTTATAGTTATTTTTAGCAGAAATATTTACAACTTATTTTATGGTATGTGATTTTATCATGCAATGTGATGGTAATTTATATAAATTTCAAGTAATATATTTTTTTAATTTCAGATCTATTAACTTCAAACACTGATTGTTATAAACAATGGTTTATAAGTAGAAGACTAAGATTATTACAAAATTTTATAACCAGAAAATACTAGACTTTCATAATAGTGGATATATATATATATATATATATATATATATATATATATATATATATATTTTTTTTTAGAAACCTATAATACTGGATTTTTATTTTTAGAAAGATATTCGATTATTAGAACATACTAGCAGTAGAGCCTGGCGTTGCCGGGGATGTAACAGTAAGGATAGATCAAATATCAACCATCATAAAGACTGAAAAATAAAATTGACAAAGATTATTGTTTAAGGTTGACGGACATGCATGTCTTAATTAGTTTTTTTTTTTTTTTTTTTTGAATTGGTCAAACCCAAACTCAAACAAAAACATTGTTTTCAATTGTTATGAGTCTACCGATTGAATAGAATTTTATTATAGACAATTGTCTTGTAAATGGAATTTTTAAAGCATTCTGAATGTAAAAATAAAAAAAAAAAAGTGTGCAAGACAATAAGAAACACTACCTGCCAAAAAAAGTGAACTTTTGTTGAAATCGGTTGAAAAATGTAAGAAATCTGATCCCATATATAAACGAACACACAGAAACAACCAGAGTTTTATAATCAGTATAACTCGATATGAGTTGTCCCCCTTTCATTCTCGCGACAGTGATGCCTCTTAATCGTGTTTTCAAATTGATTTCATGCAAAAACAATTGTGTTTTTCCAATTTTTTGTGCTGTCAGAACCACTGCAAAGTAATTTTATGTAGACCTGTGAAGTTTTGCTGAAATCGTTTGAAAAATGTAAGAAATTCGATCCAATATATAAACGAACACACACACAACCTGGGTTTTATAATAAGTATGATATAATCTACAAAGAAAAACAATTTCCAGTAACTATAAGTTATTGGAAATTGCAAAAAGTTAAAGAGACATCAGAAAACTAAAAAAAAAAAAAAAAAAAAAAATTAAATAAAAAACGAAATAAAAACAAGAACTAGAAAAAAAAATACCATCAAGAATATCAGAAAAAGAATTAGAAAAAATTATAAGTAAGAGGATTAATAAGTAAGAAAATATTCAAGTGTTGCAAATGTAAACAAATATGAACTATGCATATAATTAAACACATTGGCTAAAATGGAAAACAACTATACATTTAACCTCAAGTAAAAGTCACAAGAGAAACAAGATGAGTAAAATTTATATGAAACCTAATTTTTCAACAATTTCTAGTGATAAATGGAGAGCTACAATGGATGAACCAGATGGCTGGGCTAGAAGAGATTAGACTCTTTACAGAAATAGTCAACCAAAGTGATTTAGAAGACAACAGAGGGAGGTAGAGTAATGCATTGGGCTTATATTGTAAGCAATGAAATTAATGGTCCCTTCAAAACTGATAATATTCTTGAACAAGACATTTTTAATTGGTACCCGTTATAAACAAGACAGCTTTAAGCTAAAAAGTATATTTGTATTCAACTATGTTACCTCAAATTTTGTAAAGCTGACTAATCACCCATTTGCCAAAAAAAGGTTTCAAAATCACAAAGTTAATGGAATGACCCTTGACCTCAGCAAAAAGGATATTCAAGCAAATATCTACAGGAAGTAATATAAATAATGCTAAAGTTAAAAATCAGTGGATGAAAGATTGACAGATGTTTATAGAATATCAAAGAACCAATATTAACATGCAAATGTCAAGTTTGAAACTGTGCTACATCATTGTAGTCATATATAGTCATTGTTCCCCAATTTGTAATATGCAGTTATCAATGATGTAAACACAGCTGCAAACTTGACATCTGTAAATAAAAAAAGTACAGCTGATATTTCTACAATCTTATGCAAATGCAGAATAAGCTTTGAACACTGCTGTTGAGCAAAACAAGAACTCATGAGTGATCTACTGTTGTGGACACCTAGGCATGGAGCAAGACAAGTTTATTACCCAGCAACCACATCCATTGACCAGTTATGATATGATGCAGAATGCCTTCCTAATGACCTTCTGACCTCGATGCAGTGCCATGATAAACTCAGGAATGTTCAAGCTAATTCAACTGAATATAATTTTTTTTTTTTTTTTTTTTATGAACAGACAAATTAAAAACAAAAATATATATTTCATGATTCTGACAAATGTCATAGGTAGAGGAAGGTGTAATGAATGCAATTGCTAAAAAGAAATTCTTCTTTGTATTTACAAACATACCTGTTTATTTAAATAATGCCATATATTAATATTTATAGATATAAGCTGAAACTTACATATTGCCTGTAAGTATATTCTAAAAATTTTGCCATCATTGTTTAGTTAATATCAAGTTTATTGTGCAAACATTGACTAGGAACTTTAGGGGTGGACACCATAAAATAAATATTCTATAAAGGGAACCCCACAAAATAAGATTTTTTTTTCTCCTCCTGCCTTTCAAAGGAAAAGATTGCAGCTGCCAAAAAATCTTGTTTTTATAAGGAGCAAGCAGAAATTCTTACTTTGACCCAATTTATGTTGCAACATTATGGTGACAAAATAAAAAAAAAATAAAAAGACTGACCAATCAAATATTTTACAACCCCACCCCGGCCATCACCACTAATGTTCTCATCCAACTACCAAATTTTACCCAACCCAAGAAATACCTCAGTGTCAATCATGGTTATCCCCACCTCTGTCAAGTTACACATTATCAGTTCAACAAAATAGACACACCTCAATATGAACAAGAACTGGTCAGATTGGTCTCTCTCATTACTAAATTACTTATAACCAAAGCTTGCTATTTTTAGATAAAGCACAATTAAACAAGGCAACATTATGATTAACTTGAACCCAAACCATATTTTCTATTTCCTTCTTCCAAGGGGCACATTCCAATATTTACAGTCATTAAAGAAAGGAAAGAAAAAATGCAGTGGTATTAGAGACAAAATTAACAAAATGAAAAATCTTAAGTACTCCATGTGCATGTTTTCAAAGCTGCTATATTCCCATTTATTTGCAGACTTTCTATTTTTTCCTTAAATTAAATCTTACCTGCCACTCTCAATGTGTTGATCCACTGCAAAAGAAAAAAGAAAATTTATTGAAATCATAAACAAAATTATTTGAAAATGTGTTAATATATAATTTAATTGTAAAACATTAGAAACCATAAAACTTGGTACAATTTGCATTGGGGTACAAACAAGACTATCCCAAGTAGAGGTTATAAAAAAAAAAAAAAAAATTGTCATGATTTAAAAATTCCACAAGAAATCACAATTCAGTGGGTGTTTTCCTGTTTTATGTTGTTAAATTAAAAGCTTGCAGAGATTCTTCAAACAAAGTTTGTTTCCAAAGTGCATCATTTCAATATTAAATAGATAATATTAAATTGTCAAATATATTTAAAAAAAAAAAAAATTGTTTGAGTCTCTTAAAGAAACCAAAGAACCAGCACTAAACGTTTTGAAGTCTTCAAATTTTTAACATGTTAACCATGAAATAAAAAGGCAAATAAGATGTGGAAATAAGTCTACTATCATCACATCATGCGTCATTAGGGTGGTAGGAGCACTACATGTACTACAGTCATAGCCACAGTGGTGTATCTAAGGCAAGATAGCTTGACAGAGCCCATTCCTCTTTAAGCTGGTTTTGAATTCAGAGTTTTGCTTCTAAATAGGTTGCCACCTCAAGGCAAGAGCCCAGTCAGCCCTGCTATTTAACCCATAGCTGGAGGTTGAACAGAGATGGATTCATATTATTCCCAAGAGTATTTGCCTGAAAATGAACATAAACTGTTGGAATTTGAACTCTATTCCTTGATTTCTCTTTTTGAATCACTAACCATTACACTATCTATACATTCAACTAAAACTATAAACAGGAATAAAATTTTCAAATATCATAAAAATTTAATCTGTCTCATCATTCATGATTTTTTTCCATATTTTTATGCTGCATTGATGAGTTGTTTTTGTAAGAATGAAAAAAAAAAAAACACCCGATTTATACAGATACAGTTTATTAGCTAATTAATAGATATCACTAACAAAATCATTATTATAACCAATTCCAATCATGCAAGAGCTAATGGATTTTGCAGTGGTGGTCCTCATGGATGAAATAATAAAAAAAAAAAAAAAAAAAAAATTACCATATTATTGTGGCGTTCTATTGGTGATTGTTCTCCCTGAACATTCACCTTTTACCCAACAGATACTTGACTGGCCTTGAAATGTATATGCCACTCAAAAAATTATGTTTGACCAAAAGAATGCTTACCACAAGCTTAACACAGCAATTCAAGGATCCCAGCTTTCATAAAAAAATTAATACTGGCACATTTCTTGAATTTGTCAATGATTGTAAAAATCAGCAATATTCCAAGAATGTTATAAATGGCAATATTAGCTTTTTCCTTATAAGGAAACATTTGGCATTCATTGACTAAGCAACCAATACTACTTTCAGTTGAAATTTATAAAAATCTTTCTCTTAAAACAATTTTTTAGAAAAATAAGTTTCTCAAGTCCAGTAGCTCTCAACACTTTCTGGTATTAATAAAGGATTCTTTCCTAAACTTTTATTTGAAGTAGTGACATAAGTGAACATAAAAATGGCTCTGTATGAGTGAAGGCTGTGGGTCTTACTGAATATCATCCTTCTTCAAATCTTTTGAACTGGCACGATAGAATCACAATCAAAGAACTAAATCACTTTCAACAGAAGCAAAAACTAAAATGGATAGTACATGTAACTCAAAGAGAAAATAATGATATAATAAAGATGTTGACATTTCACACTACTGAAAATAATACCCCATCAATACTGGAAAGATTGATAATAGCTACTGACTTGAGATGACTTTTTTCTAAAAAATTGTTTTAAGAGAAAGGTTTTATAAATTTCAACCTAAAGTAGCACTGGCTGCTCAGTCAATGAATGGCAAATGTTTCTTTATAAGAAAACGGTTGATATTAACATATACAAAGAAAAAAAATCTGAAAATCATGCTGTGTCTTTTACCTCAATGGTTGAGTTTGATTAAGTCATGCAATAGAAGTTACCAGTTGTAGACTAATAACTAAACACATCTGTTTGATACACAAGTGTGTTGGTGTCTACAGAATGAAATAGAATTAAATGATTATAAATCAAAATTATATATATATATATATATATATATATATATATATATATATATATATATATATATATATATGTGTGTGTGTGTGTGTGTGTAAATATATAGAAAAATAGGAAAAGAACACGTTAGGTAAATAATCCGAAGTTCTTTAGTATTTTTGTTTTTGTTTTTTTAAAAACTACTCAATACAAAAGTAGGGCCTAAATTATAATTATTTTTATTTTTTAAAAATATTTTTTTAAATTATTTTTATGCTATATTTAATAATTATATTGAAGTTTTTGGCTCTTGTTTTTGAAACATGAGAACTCTTATTTAGCAAAGGAATCATATTTTTGAAAAATAATTATATATATGCAGCAATCCTTATTTTATACAGGTTTCATTAAAGATGACTGAAAAAGTAATGTGATTAAGCTTTTTATTTAATTTTTCTTGTGTTCGTACAAGTGTTTTCTTTCCTGGACACAAAGTGTGTAAAAACTGTCCAAAAGTTCTTCATGTCTGAGCACTTTCAGCTATACTTTTAGCCATTATCAAGGATGATTTTATTTTTACTTTTTAACTGAATGTATATGTTGTGTATATGTATCTAGAGTTCTATTTATTATTTATTTTCCAAATATGGTCAGCACATTGTGGCCATGTTCACAGTTAATGTTATTAAGTGTTGGCTTTTTCTTTTTTATCATTAGAGCTTCCATTATTTTTATTTTAACATGTGGATGAGGTTATTATGCTTGTATTTTCTACTAGTATGTTTCAGATGAAGTCTTTTAGACTATTTACATTATTCAGACTATTGTCCTCATCTTTGTTGCCATATTTATCACAATGTTTTGGCCATTGTATGCTCCAGCCTTCTTCAGGTGGTTTGAATGTCAAACTGAATCCTTTATTGCACTCACTGGGGTATACTGTTCTAGTTCCACATACCACAGTGGATAAAGGTGTTAGTTAGATACAGCGACAGGACCCAAAGAGTGTGAGTTCAATACCTGGTTAAGGCAGTAGAGAACTTGGAGAGGGGATTTAATATGAGATAACTAATGACTGATATCCATTAGACATGGCACATTCTAATGGAACTGTGGTCAGATAGGTGTAAGGTAAGGCATCTAGATAGTCATGTAGTAGTGTGACCGATGTAATTATTTATGTGTTTGGTTTGATCAAGAACACAGTTCCTTAAGGGGCATCTGAACACATAAATAATGTTGGTTCTTTGTAGTTTTGATTTTACAGGTGTGTTATTTTTGAGGATAAGATTAGCTGTTTTAAATTTGTTTGTAATAGATAATTTAATTTTTTTTTTTTGTTTGTGTCAACTGTGGTAGTGTATTTCTTTATATTTCCAAGTGAAGATTCATCTTGCGTATAGTTGATGTGCATTTGGCTTTTGTAGAAGATTTATATTATTGTTTTTGTCTGTTCAGTATTGTTATTTACTTTGGAAAGAAAGTGTCTAATTTGGTTGTCAATGAAGTAGTTAGGGAAACCATTGTTAACTACTGTCTGTTTTGCATTGTTAAGTTCTTTAAGGAAAAGTAGACGAGATGATGAATTCTCATGTGCCCTCTTTGGGAAATTTTTAGCACCGCTATTTTGTATTTAAGTGGGCATTCACTCTTAAAATTAAGGTGGCAAGAGTTTCTGCTAGTGGGTTTTTTATACAATAAGGTGGTGAAAGTGTTGCTACTGTATTCTACCAAAATGACTAACAATAGGAGTTTATGTTTTTGACTTAGGTAAAATTAAAGACAGTTTTTTTTTTTCAAATTTGGTTTTAAGGTTATCTATTTCTTGTGCGTTTTTCACTAAAATAAAAATATTGTCTATGTAGCGGACAAATATTTTGGGTTTTGTGACCTGTTTAAATATGTTTTCTATGTGAAAAATGTAGTAATTGGAGAAGCATGGGCCAAATAAATTTCCCATACTACCACAGTTTGGGTGTGTAGGTGTTGCCATTATGGTCATAGAAGGAGACTTTGAATGTGCATGCATGTGATGATTTTTTGAGGATATTTGGTTTGATGGATGATACATTTGAACAGTTTTTGCACAGTTTGTATTCAGAAAAGAAAACACTTATATGAACACAAAAAATATTAAATAAAAAAGCTTAATTGCAGTACCTTGTCAGTTATCTTTAATATATATATATATATATATATATATATATATATATATAATATTAGTGGTAAATATACACATACATATGCAAAATATATATACATAGGTGCATACACATACATGTATATTTTTTGAATAAAAATTCAAAGAGGATAGAACATTAGATCATCTATGGTGTGTGTATGTCACCACGAACTGTATCTTTATGCATCAGACAACATTCATATTTCTCTTACTTAAACCCCTTCCACTCACCTCTCCTAAAATTCTCTCTGTTAAGGTTTAATCTCCCTCCTTCTCTCGTCTGTTACCCCTCTCTTTAGCTCTAACATTCGTCCCACACTCTCATACTTACACTCTCTCTAAATTCTGTTTTTATTTCCGGAGTTGTTTTTCTGTTTTCTTTTTTGAATTTGTAGGTCTGATGAATTGGATCATATTTACGATTCCAATGGAATAAATTATGACCATGGAATATTAGTGTTTAAGCCATTTTATATATATATATATATATATATACACACACAAGTGATATATGTATAACAAGACATACAATTATTGATGAATCGGCAATTGCAGCAACTGAATATTTTTTCTTCCTTAATTTTTTTTTTTTTAAGATTTATGTTGGTCATGGTGTACACACAAACACAACCATAAATCTGTTCATCTGTCTATACCTAACAAATGTTTTGCTCCAGAAAGTCCACCCCTGTATAAAATACATAGGCACCATTCATAGCACATAAGATTAGTAGTTTGTAGGTGTAATAATCTATGAATAATTGTCA